ACAACTGCGCATAGGACCAAATGAACCTCATAGGAGTTATTGAGTTAAAAGGCAGAAAGAGGCCACAGAGGTAGCTCAGTGGGTAAAATGCTTGATACAAAAGTTAAACGCTGAAGTTCAGATCCCCAGGACCAAGTAAAAGTCTAACAAGGCTATACTCCTGGAATGGGTTTGGGCGATGGGAAAATGCAGGCTTGCTGGCTGGCCAGGCTAGCAGAAGCTTCAAGTTCAGCAAGAGACCCTGTCTCAAATACATAAAGTAGAGATGAGATTGAGACACTCAACCAGTGCCAACTTTTGCCCTTTACACACGAATACCTGCACACACGTGAATATCACACACATACAAAGTAACGTCATCACAATGGCACACCTTTCTTCCTCACAATTAATGTTCTTATAAAGTATCTTAGTCTCCCATAGTCTCCCACTGCTGTGAAGAGACACCATGACCATGACCACGGCAACTCTTACAAAAGAAAACATTTAACTGGGGTGGCTTACAGTTCAGAGGTTCAGTCTAGTCCATCATCATCATGGTGGAACTTAGCAATGTGCAGGCAGACATGGTCCTGGAAAGGAAGCTGAGAGTTCTGCACCTTGCACAGGCAGCAGGAAGTGGTCTGTCTCACTGGGTGTGGCTTTAGCATATATACCTCAAAGCCCACCTCCATAGTGACGCACGCACGTCCTCCAAGAAGGCCACACCTCTTAACAGTACCACTCTCTATGAGCTTATGGGGGCAATTATATTTAAACTATCACATCAAGAGATAAATTGATATGGAAAACAAGTGAGATCTCTTGGACAAACTCATACACAGTAAAGACTGTTACGATGCAGATGTGGCATGAATAATAAAAGCCAAAAAGACAGATGTTGGGGTTCAACCTGAAGGTCAGAAAAGCAAAACAGCCAGCCACTGGCTCTTACCTCTTCTTCAGTCTAAAATGGTGATCCTGCCTCCAGGAATCTCAGAATGAGACTGTGTCTGTGAGCTGTCTCCTCCTGTATTATAATCCTCTCTAGTTCTGGGATGAATTGTGTGCATTATTGGGATCAAAGGCAAACTAGTGTGGCTACTGGGACTAAAAGTCTGTGTTACCACTGCCTGGTCTGTAAGGGTGACCAGTGGGACTGTTTTACCCTCTGATCTTCGGGCAAGCTTTATTTATTAACACACAAATGAAATATCACTACAGCAGGTAAGTGTGCGTTTCCAACATTGCTGTTATCTAAGCTTTGGAGTTGCTTTTTCCTGTGCCTGAACTATTTTTCTGGGGCCTTTGTCTAGCTAGCTGCTTCTAGCACCAGCTACCACTGCCATACTTTTCCCAAGATCACACAGAGGGAGTTTTTTCCTTGCAGAACTTTTCAGGTTTGTGTCCTTGATAAATGTTTGCCTTCTGTCTTTATATTACAGGTTTCAAGAGAAAGAACAAAGGCCAGGCTCCTTTCCTTCTCAGGTCTCTGCATCTAACAATGTGACAAGCTCACAGTAGAGCAGTGGTTCCCAACCTTCCTATTGCTGCAACCCTTTAATACAGTTCTTCATGTTGTGGTGATCGCCAGCCATAAAATTATTTTCATTGCTATTTCATAACTATAATTTTGCTACTGTTATGAATCATATTGTAAATAGCTGATATGCAGGATGGTCTTAGGGCAACCCCTGTGAAAGAGCTGTTCCACTCCAAAGGAGTTGCGACCCACAAGTTGAGAATGACTGAAATAAATGACCTTGCCTTTTACTGGTAGCAGCTTACATAAACGAACTGGGAGCCTAACCCCTCTGGGAAACATAGGCGAATGCTCTGTTTATTTCAGATTTTCCCCTTAAGGAGGTTGTTGTAGATTCTCCCATTGGGTTCTGAACAAGATAGCAAAAAGGGAGCAAACTAGGGATGTCAAGACCTACCTGGTTTTTAAGAGTAACTCTCTCTAACTTCATTATTTTGGTTTAAGAATAGTTTAAAGAGTTATAACGTGTTCCAAACCATTGGATATATAGCTGTCTCTGGCACCCAATGAGAAAGAAGGACAGTGCTTTAGCAGCATCACAATACCCTACCTTCAGATGATGTACCAGCCTCAGCAACCTAAGTATGAAGCTGATGCCCATTTACTCACTTTGCTTACTATGAAGACCTTCCTCTTGCAAACATTGGTCTCAGTCCATGGGAAGCATAGTGAATCACATTAAGAACAAGTCTATCTGGCTTTGCATTTCAGAGATGGGAAAGTCATGTAACATTGCTTGTCTCTAGAACCTTCCTTAAACTACTTGATGAAACAAAGGGAGATGCCAAAAATAGCAATGAAGACCTTAAGGTCTTTACAGTTAAGCAATTCTTTTTGTTTCTGGAGAATGTTTTCTAGAGACAGTAGTGATGCTATTCCTATGTTGATAGTGAAAAGCTTGATATTGAAACAAGGTATGTAGACCCATCGAATATTTTGTATTTAAGTGTTTGCATCCAACAATTAATACCAGAACATGCCCCTCAGCCATAGCAAACATTTTGGAGCAAGAACAATAAACTGCCTTTTGAACTTATCTTAGAAGTAAGTATGTGCCTGTGAATCAAAGTGATAGACCATATCAAATCCACAGAGGAATGAATACATCTTCTGATTGTTCTCTTTCTCAACAGCTGGAGATTGGATATAGATGGACTGATGTGGGAGTGATTTCTTATTAATAAAGAAACTGCCTAGACCCATTTGATAGGCCAACCCTTAGGTAGGCGGAGTAAACAGAACGGAATGCTGGGAGAAAGAAGCTGAGTCAGGGAGTCGCCATGATTCTCCCACTCCAGACAGACGCAGGTTAAGATCATTCCTGGTAAGCCAGCTCTTGGGCTACACAGATTAATAGAAATGGGTTAGATCAATATGTAAAAGCTAGCCAATAAGAAACTGAAACTAATGGGTCAGGCAGTGTTTAAAAGAATACAGTTTCCGTGTAATTATTTCGGGCGCCAAAATGAAGGCGTAAGTCACAAACAATGCCACACCAATTCGGGGTTATGATTATTAGGGTGGTATTTATTTAAAGGGGAAAAAACTTACAGATCACTGTCCCAGGCAACAGCTCTCTTCGCAACCAGGAAAGGAGTCTAGTCGCAGGCGGAGCAGGAAGTGAAGAGAGCGAGAGAAGGGAAGTGGCCGCTTTTTTAAAGGGAGAAAAACCACGCCCCAGTGGGCTGGTACCTCAGCGGTGATAGGCTGGAGGAGTGGGAGGACCTCCCGCAACACCGGACCATCAAGAGGCATGAGGGGATGGGTACTAGTCTTGTGATGGGACACACAGGAAAAGCCAGGCACTCAGAACCAGTGCTCTAGCCTTGTGTGTCGAGGGCAGCGAAAGAAGGAAATGCATGTCCATTGTGCATGACCCACTACTACCTTCTGTTTGAAAGATCAAACTCACAGTCTAACACAATGAACTTCCTGGATGATCCAGAGGTAGCAGTGTGATCCAGCAAAGCATAGGTTCCGAGCTGGAAAGGACTATTGAGATTCTGTTCTACCCCTTCACTCTACGAAGTGATGACTGGAGCTGGAAGAGTAGACACATCTCTTGATCGCCACAGCTAGCTGATAGTAGACCAGGTTGCAGACATCCTGAATTCTAGTTCATTCTTACCCTTTCTGGTGCAATTAGCAAAATTCCATAGAAGTGATTCTAGACTCTCCCTCTTGGAAGCCTGAACAACTTATTACTTGGGACCAAACACCTCCTTTGTCTAAGAACGCAACAAACAGGTACATTCCAATAAGGCTACTCAACCTTCCGTCATGGGAAGGAAATAAGACACAGCAAGACCCAGGCCCCATCTCAGTGGCTGCTGCTGGCAACGGATGGAGAAGGACTGACGCTTGTACTTCTTGACTAGTTAACCCTTTCCTTTAAAGTTCCCCTCTTCCTCAATGAAACTGGTTGTTCTCACTGTGAAAACTCACCACAAAATGTCTGGGAAACAGACGCTTGAAGTCAGAAAGTCAAAAGGGATTTACATTTTCAAACTTGGTTCTATAATGTTATGGGGAACAATCATCATGCACATGAAATTTTATAGAAAACTAGTGCAGTTGGTTTTTATTTTTCTCTTTGCACTTTGGGGAACCACCATCCCACTCCAAAATAAATACATGGAGACTTATTCTTTCTTATAAATGCCCAGACTTAGCTTGTCTTATTTCTAGGGAGCTTTTCTTAATTTAAATTATCCTCTAGGATTTAATTAATTTAAATTTTTTTTAATAAATTTAATAGATTTAATAAATTTAAATTAATTAATTTAAATTTTTCCTCTAGGGTTTTACCCTTTTCTATTTCTATATATCTTTTCTTTCCTTCTTATTCCATTTCTGACTGTTTGACTGGGTGGTAGCCCCTGGCATCCTCTTCTCCTTTTCTCATTCTCCCTTTTTCTTTCTTTCTTTCTCCTTCTAATTATTCTCTTTGCCTGGCAACCCCACAAATCCCTCTCCTTCCTAGCTATTGGCTGTTCAGATCTTTATTAGACCAATCTAGTATTTTAGGCACGCAAAACAGCACAGCTTCACAGAGTTAAACAAATGCAACATAAAAGAATGCAACACATCTTTGGACCATCAAACAAATTTTCCACAGCATAAGCAAATGTAACACATCTTCAACTAATATTCCACAACAAACTTGCAACAGCGATAAAAACTCCAATTGCCAAAGGAACAGTAAAGGAAACATGCAAATCATCTAAATATCTACCATGGGTCACAGCTCTCTTTTTAGCAGGAAGACACTATATAGCAGTGACTAAGGCAGTTGCCAAAGGCTTCATAGAAAGTAAACAATGTATTCTAGATATTAGCAAGATCCTTGAGCATCAACCTTCTATCCATTCTCCCTCTGTCCTTAGATACCCTGCTTATACTTAATTGTGAAACTATATGCTTATATTTGAATTTCATAAAATTCCATTTCTACATGCCAGTATGACATACTTCTTACCGTCCTCATTTTCATCAAACACTGGTGCTTTGCTTGAAGTGTTGGCTCCCATGATCAAGTCTGCACTGACCTGGATACTCTAGTTATAGAATGCTGGAAGAAATACTCATTCTTGTACAGTGCAGGTCCTGGAAAGTTAGCTTGTTTCTACAAAAAGAAAGAAAGAAAGAAAGAAAGAAAGAAAGAAAAAGAAATAGTATCCTTTATATTATAGTTTGTGATATATTGTAACAAAAACATTAACTTGTATTACTGTAGCAGAAATTTTTTTTGTCCTTAAAAATTACAATAGAAATGACAATGCATGGGACAACAGGAGAGGTCACACTGCACAGTGCCATCAAAAGTCAATCTGTGCTTACAACATAGGGGAAAAGCAAAATATTTTCCAGATATTAAGAAAAAAATTAAGGTAAGGCCAGTTAAGTGACTATAAAATAAAATTAATCTTAGTGACCTTCTGTATTTTAAAGAAAATAGGCTAACTTCACATTTTCAGTTTTGCTTTGTGACCAAGAACAACCCTAAAATCTTCCCCTTAAACATGAAGTTGTCTTATGTTTCCCCTTGCCCTGGAAGGCACCACAATGGATTGGATGTTACTAGCTAGTAGATGGTATCCTCCAAACATTTTTCCTTCTGAACTTGCAGATGATAATGGTCTTTACCCAAAAGGAGAGTTAAATGTGATCCACTTACATTTAACTCCTTGTAAATATATGGCATATATATATATATATATGTTGTGTATTCATATTATATGACTCCTATGTTGTATCATATGAATAAACACATTATGTGACACTTATAAATTTTGCTTGCTTGGGGGCATATTCTCTTACGTAGCTTAGGCTGGCCTTCAGCTTCCATTCAGCCCTCAATAGTTAAGAGAGCACAGATGTTCATCACTAGCCCTGGCTCTTCTACATATTTTTATGTACTAAGTACATAAATATAGATACATATTTAACACAGTAAACAAAGTACTTTTATAATAGCATATTCAGCAATTATTGATCATTCTAAAATACAGATTAAATTATATAGCTAAGATAAAATTTCCTTTAAACTGTACATTGATTCCTTTAAAAACACAAATGTAAAGACTCTTACTATCCTGGAACCTATTAAACAGAGGCATTGTCTGGGTTCCAGTTCTAAGAATTGCATGATCATGGCCTTGAAACAGTTATTTAGCCTCTGGCCACAAAAATGGGGACATAACAGTGCCTCCTCCAGGAGTCACAAGCTCAAGTGCCTTTAAGTGCCAGGAAGCTCACACAAAAGACCAAACCATACCAGGTACAGGACATTCAGGCATTATGAGGACAATGGTGGTACTGGCTTAATCTTAAAAATGTACTTGAGGTCAGACGAAGACATTTTTGTGTATGGAAACACTAGCCAGGGACCTTTAGAACTTCTGAAACAGGGTGAAGTGCCAGAATTTATAAAAGAAGATTTTAAAATTCAGCTCAGCTCTACAGCTCAAAAAAAAATCATGCTCGGGACAAATATGATTTATAGATATAGATAGAAAAGCAATAGAAGTGCAGTAATTAACAAAGTACCTGGCACATAAAATACAAAAAGAAGAAATGGCTGTCTCTATTATTTTGACAGGCACATTATTTCCTTAGCATTTATCATTTTTTTCAGGTGTTGACACTTGTTGACCTTTTGTTTTGTTTTGTTACTTTTCCCCCTTGGAATATTTTTATGCACGAAGTAAATGCAGGTTAGATGCAGAATTAGAGAGAGTATCCAAGATAGACTGGTTTATGAATAAGTTATTTTTTAAGAGAACTTGGGGAGTTCCCAAGTATATAAGAAAAGCTCATTTTCTCATTAGGAATATGTAAGTCAGGACTTCGTTTGGAAGGAAGACCCATTAAGGAATTGCTCCTTTTCCAACTAAATGCCAACTGCTGGCAAAATGCCTTATGGTCTTTAAAAAGAATCATTAACTGTAGAGCAAAGAAAGAGTCAGCAATTAGGAAGTGACCAATTAAATGAGCTAGGACTGGGGAGAGGCTTGGGGCAGGTGGCTGGTGGCTGCAGCAGGCTCAGTGGGATAACTGAGATCCAGGAAGATAGAAAGAACTGCTGTCAGTCCAGAAACAAGGCTTTTAAACATGAGAATAGTGAACGAAGAAAAAGTAGGATGCCCATTGCCTTTGATAGAAAGTTAAGAAGCAGAATGGAGCACTTTTTGTCCTTTAATATTGCATAGAGTTCGGGGCGGGGGCGTGAATAGCAATGACTCTACTACCAGCAACATTAGAAAAAGAGAATGGATCCTATGCATTTTAAGGAACAGTGATTGTTAACCCTGCAGAGTCAGACTTCATTCATTTTGTATCTGGTAAAAGTCTGAATGCACGCTTTCACGGCACATAACTGCCCTACCATGCGTGTATTCTTCACACCTATGTTTCTCTCAAGTAGCCCTTCTCTCTGCTGCGTAAGATGCACCAAGCATTGACCTTGCACTTTGACAAATCACAGGGAGGCAGAGGTGGAAACATTACCATGTTTTCCCACATCTCAGACTTCCACTCTGGGGTGCAATTTAATCTGCCGCACAGCCATCCGTTTCACTGGGAGAAAGGGCCATGTGAAGGGAGGCATGGCCGTGGATGCTTACAAGGGGCCAGCTAAGCAGTCCTCGATGATGGTCTAGCATCTTCCCCCATAGTAGCTACCACACAGAATTGCCTGAAAATTGTCTTTAACTTTTTCTCCCCCAAGCGGATAACCAAATTAGATAAGTTTCTCTCATAACTAGAAAGAAACGGGCCTTTCTCTGGCAGGAAAATGGTGACTCATTGTTTCCACTCTGTTGAATAGAGAACAGGAGAAATGTTAAGACTCTTTCCCATAAAACCTCTACCCTCCCTGACCTCCTGTTCTGAGTCCCCAGAGTCAGCTAAGCGTGGAGAGCCGCAGCCATGTGAGGAAAGGGAACCCTAAGCAGACAGGCAAGAAGGCGGATTTGTCTTGCAGGAATGGATGAGACTTCACACTCTACAGAGCCCATAATTACCACATTATTAAATGTAGCCTCATGTTCAATACCAGCCTTTCAAGTGCGGCTTGCAGACCTAAAGGAGTCAGGAGGCTTCTCTGACCAGTTCTGTCTCCCTAGAGACTCTTAGAACTGGAGACCGCCAGGTGTGATGCAAGAATGTTGCAACATCCGACTGCACCGTGTAGATTTCATTATCACAATGTGTGCACAGTCATAATTATTTTTATTTGCATTTGAAAAACATGAAAATATTTAGAAACACAAGAAACAGGGACGTTCAAGTTAGCAATATTCTCTATTAATAACCGTTTGCATTTTCAACCTCATGTCATAATTTTTAGGTATTGAAAGTTGCAGGTAAGTAGAGTGCCTTTTCCACCTCCCCAAAGCAGCTCAGTGGTCTGCACACACCTCCGCACCTTTAACAGGGAGAAGTGTTTTCAGAGAAGCCCCCTGATCCTCACCAGGAAAGAGGGCTCACCTTGCACCTTGCTGGGCTCATTAGCCATCCTATTTCTGAGATCTAAGCACGAGGACATACATCTTTACAACTCTGACTTAGGCTTTTTAAGTGCCGCCTAGCAATTCACAGCGTGAATACAGCACAGTTTACTTTCTCTGTGAAGATGTTCAAACTCTGCGTCAGCTTTGGATGGGGCAAGGGACCTACTAGCACGGAAAGCAATGCTAGCTTTTTCTGAAACTCATTTCAACCCAGAGACTATTTCTTGAAGTCTTTGGGGGCAGAGGTGGTGCAAAGCTGGAGGAGCAGATGAGGGCAATAGTTAGGGTGGGTGCTATCCTCCATCTGGTTGTGCCAACCACGCTGACCAACTGATTGCCTTTGTGTTCTTTCTCTTCCCCATCCCCTTGAACTTCCCAGCTTCCCACCAGTGCCCTTCTTCACTCAGGGCGATTCTGTACGTGCAGTCTCTACTCACCCACTCCGCGTCCTTCCTCCAGCCCTTCCACTCACTTCAGGATGATGCTTCCATTCGAGGAGCTGGGGCAGACCACACTCCGCAGGTCAAGAGCAGTGGGGACGGAAGACACCTGCCTAACAGGACGCGGCTGCGGGAGCAGCCAGGCAAGGCTGCGTGCTGGGCTCCAGGCACCTGCGGCTGCCAAGGGGACCCAGCGCAGCCGCGGAGCTCCCCAGCAAGGGGCGGGTCCCGGGAGAAGAGAAAATGCCAAGCAGCCCGCCAGGGGCGTCCACAGACGGCGCCCTCCCCTGGAGCGGACTGCCAGTCGCCTGGACCAGCGCCAGTCGCCTGGGGACTGTGCGTCGTCTGCAGGGGGCCGGACGAGCGCCCCGGGAGGGAGAGTTGGAAAGCAGGAGGGCGTGGCTGGAGTCCGGGTTGCTGGCTCCGTAGCTGCCGCTTGCTGAGCACTCCTCTACTACTCAGACCCGGGCAGGGACTCTCCCTAACGTGGTCCGTGAACAGCACTCCCGTCTCCCCATCCTCCTCCGGGCAGCACTATGGGGTGGTGGGTGTGAGGGTGACAATACTAGATTTGGATTGTCCATGAATTGCCCCATTTTATTGCTGCGGTAATTAAGGCACAAGACAGAGAATGATTGTCCACTGTAGCAGAACTGTCGGTGGGCAAACTCTCCTGTCCCCCAACTTTTCCTCCATCTCTGCACACTCACCTGCCGGTGGAAGTAAGAATGGGGACTCCCAAAAGTTCAGAGGTAGGTGATCAAGAGGAGCCATCAGGTCGTCTTCCATGGCAGTTCCTTCTACTTCCCTTGGCAGTCATAATCACAGTGGAAGTAACTTACCATTTCCCTCCACGACCAGGGTCACACTATTCCTTCCTGATACAGTAGCTGCTTCAGAAATGACCGATGTGACAGCGGGACAGCTGCCGGGCAGGGACAAATGGACAGTGGGGGGATCTAGTTTGGGAGTGGCTACAAATTCTAGCTATCTTCAGGTATTCCTGTCATATAGGAATATCAGATAAATGCTGTCGAATGGTCAGATCCGTAAAGAGAAACTGGAAAAAAAAAAACCACACATATTGGGATTAAAACTTCTGCTATGTATGTCCAACTCCACGTTAAATATTTAATTTGTAGTGACCAATGCCTGTCCAAAAAGGTATTTCATAAGAAGAGAGAAACACAAAGATGTAGAAAGAAAAGTAGCAGAGAATCAAGCTCTCTCCACCCCGATCCCTCCCTTGTGCACCCCAGTTTGGCTGCAAAGTCCTCCAAAGGCTTTAAGGGGTTTCCTTTTGGATACCCAAGGCAAAAGGAACACGCGGGTAAGACAAAGGCGCCTCTAAGTTTTAAAAGACTCGGGAAGAACAATTCATGTTTACCTGAGAAAGGCTAAGGAAGTGGTTCAAGAGCTGCAAGTTTCATCCGGAAATATTCCGTTCTGTACTTCCACAATTTCAGACACCACAGACCACCCTGAGAAGCCCGGTGTGGTTGTGTTTTCACGCTCGTGGAAACACAGCTAGATAGATCCATGAGTAGAATTCTGCAGACATTTCAGTCACAGACACAGTCTGTTTTACTAAGTTTTTAAAATCAGTTTTAACCATGTTTCTAAAACTGATTATCAAGGAATTGGACAAGCAATAAAAATTTACCTTGCCTTCCTAATCTTCCAAGACATAATGAGTTCTGTTTTATCATTCAAGAAGTTAATACAGCAAGAAAGTGGACTGAGACAAGATCAAAGTCCCCAGAAACCTCTCTGGTTGAATTGGAGAGATGTAGAATCAGGCAGCCTTCCAGCCAAAAGACCAGACTGCCATCCCTGTGGTACTTACTGGCTGTTTCACTTAAATCCCCCAAGTTTCAGTGTTTCAGTATCAGTAATGACATCTCTAGTCAGGGGAGAACTGAATAAAGTGCCTATTTTACCCTGGCCAGCAGAGCACACACTCAGATTAGCAGCTGCTAAACTTTCCATCTCAGGGCTAGGGAGGCTGCTCGGTGGTTGAGAGCACTCTTGTCTCTTGCAGATGACCCAGATTTAATTCCCAGCACCCACATGGTAGCTCGGAACCATCTGTTCCTCTAGTCTCTGGGGATCTGATGCCCTCTTCTGACTTCCATGGATACCAAGCATGCACGTGAATACACATAAATACATGCAGGGGGAAAACCACATAAATAAAAATTTAAAAATCTAATAAAAATGGTAAAAGATTACCGTTTCAATTAACAAGCTAGTAGGCCAACCCCATTCTTCTCAGCCCTGCCATCCCTTACAGCATCAGTCACTTTTGCTTAAAACTAAGCTACAATCCAGTCAAGTACACCTGCCCCTTATAAGCTTGGCGTACAAGAAATTTTATTTTTTAAAAGGTATATTGTTCATGACACATGAGTCATTAAATGAAGATGTTAATGCAAGGCACGGGATACCTTCATCTAAGTTACTGCTCAGGGAGGCCCTAGAAGTCTCCAAAACAACCCACGTTCTTGTCATTGCCCTTGGTTATTCACCTAGCTCCTTGATAACAGCCTATCATCGAAGACATAGAGAAATCAATCTCAAACTGCCAGGCAAGAGTTTCTTCCCTGTTGGCTAGCTTTTATCATGCTGGTAAATGCTATGCAGGTTGCTGGGGATGGAAGACATCAGTGATCTTACCCAGTATAAGACTACACGCTGCAATATCTACCTGCCCTGCCATGCAATAGTGGTGCAAGTGTTATAGGATAATGATTTTCTGATTGGATCTGAGGTCTGCTCCACAGAGGGAATTCCATAGCTGCTACTGCAATCCTTGTCAAAAGTCCATGGTGTAGAAGAACTTGTTATTGTTACTTTGCTCAGTAGTCATGTTGTGAAATTTCTTTCAAATATTCATGCTTATACGAATAGGCTGGGACTTCTCTCAGCCTTGGTCTGAGAAGCATTTTTTGTTTTGTTTTGCAGTAAATAGCAGCCAATGTCTAATGCATAACTATCCACGCTTCTGAGGACGGGAGACCGGAAGCCCTAAATGGAACATCTCGGTGCTCTCCCCATGCTGCCAAGACTCGGCGATCATAAAGGAAGAGAAAGTACAAAGACTGGAAGAGCTGGAAGATGGGAAGGAGAGCTGTGAAATGCTTTCTTCTGTGCGTGACATGGTATTGAACTCATGAATTCACAGCAACTGTGGTTCCCTGCACAAGGCCTACGCAACACCAAACCAACCTCCAGACCAGAATTAGTGGGATAGCCCATCTCTAGGCCTCACCCCATGCCAAGGATGAGGGTAGTTGCAGGAAGAAGGAGAACTGTTCTTCTTGAGAGTATGAATGGTAGGGTTCTCGTGCTGAGCAGATGGCCCAACACTTACACATATGACCAGCACTAACTGGACTTAGTTAACTATCAGTTTGGAAGAGGTGTGCTGGGGGGTGGGGTGGGGTGGGGGGGAGTGATATGATCATATTTCATTGTAAACATGTATGGAAGTTTCAAAGATAACAAATAATTTAAGACTGTATCCTGTCTATCAGGAACAGAGTTGTTACAACAATATAATTGAATTTTATTCTCTTTTTTATTTAGTTGTTCATATTATCTACCGTTCATACTTCTTGCCTGTTTGCTGCACACATCTCTGTGAAGAAAGGGCAGCCTGCCATAGCCCGGGTACTTGCCTAGCTGGGTTATATGCATATGTCAATCTCTGGAGCCCCCCAGTGGAGATCAGAATGAAGTAGCCAGGGAAGCCTTGAGGCACAGACAGTCAATTTATACATGTTTTAACAGCTTGGACTTAAACCATGTACCTCTTGTCTTGAAATAGTCTGGTGCCACTGCAGGTAAAACAAAATGGCATTCTTTGCCCGTCTTAGTTACTGTTCTATTACTGTGAAGAGGCACCATGACCAAGGCAAGTCTTATAAAAGAAAGCATTTAATTGGAGACTTGCTTATAGTTTCAGATTAGCCTGTTATGATCATGGTGGGGAGCACAGCAGCACACATGATGTGGTGGGGAAGTAGCTGAGAGCTACATCAGTCTGCAGACACATGGGGAGAGAGAGAGAGAGAGAGAGAGAGAGAGAGAAGACTGGGCTTGGTGTGGACTTTTAAAACCTCCAAGCCCACTCCCAGTGACACTGCCTCCAACAAGGCCACACCTCCTAATCTTTCCCAAACAGGTTACCAGCTAGGGATAATGCATGCAGATATGTGAGTCTCTGGGGGCCAATCTCATTCAAATCACTCCATTACCCTAGGAGTCATTGTCATAAACCACGTGCCCCTGCCACTCTGTTCAACTAAGTCAACTTGAGTCAGGGTTTCTCTAAGGCCAAATCGCCTCTCTGCAGGCTGTGCTGAGTCTGGCTTTCCCACAGGACTTAGGATAGTTCTTTATAGACATGCTTCTGGATTTCTTTCCACTTAGCTGTCACATCGGGTTCTCAGCTCACATTTTTTTCCGCCTGGAGATGCTATCCTTCAACTCCTTCTTTACAGTTCTCTCTTGGTCCCGCCTTCATTTTCCACCACCCTCCCGGATTTCTCTGGCCATTGCTCACCAGGAGCTGCTGTAACGATGATTTTGTTTCGTGACTACTTTGCTTCATTCCCTGATTGGGTGTAATGGAGTGGGGGCAAGAACAACCCCTGCCTTGCCTGTCTCTCCTGTGTATGCAGCATTGAATCTGGCAGTTAGCCTACAGGAGATGTAGTGTAAAATACGTGTTTGTCCTGGAAGGAAAGACAATAAAGCCATACTGTACCTCAAAGCAGTAACCACAGGAAGGAAACAGCCCTCTATAGGGAAAGGTATGAAGGAAGCAAAGACTAGCAAACACTGCAGCTCACCTGGAGGGTTTTGTGGTTTAGGTAGAAGTTGCCTCCAAGTCTGAAGAATGGAGACAAGGGTGTAATATTGGGGAAAAAATAATAAAAAAATTTAGTGCGACTGGAGGCACAGCGTGTGGTGTGCAAGAGGGATGAGAGGAACACCTTGAGGAAAGAAAGCTGGCGTGAAAACACTGAATTTTTAAACAGATATCACTAGAGGCTTCTAGATGTGTTAGCAGAAACTGGCAATTCAGTGTCAGGGAGGCCACTCTGTCTTCTTTG